CTGCTGTGCAGTAATTGTAGTTTCCCTCCTCCCTCCAATCCCAACCTGTCATCCATCCCCATGGTGTTATGATTTTGCAGCCTCCTGACTCTGACATTAGCCAGATGTGGGCCCTCTGTTTTGTGGGAGCTGAATTAGCACACCAGAAGCAGAAAGGCAGCCAGGTTGGATGCAGCGCATCCTCCTTGTCTTCTGCAGCTGGGGTGATACGGACTGGGCCAAGTCGCCCAGCTCTGGACATGCAGGCCATGTGCAGCCAAAGGGCTCAGCCAAGCCACCCTAAAGCAGTGGGGCCACAAACGGCTGCCTGCTCTGCCACGTGCGTGTCCCTGCATCACCACTGCAGCTCGATGAAGGAGCAAAGTGCGGGGAGATAAACACGCGTTCCCCTTGCTGCAGCACCAAAGCAGGGTGGTAGGAACCAGCTGAATATCCCCATGCAGCATTTCCCTGTGTGCATACAATGCAGGGAGGCAGAGGACAGGTGGGAAAAATCTGTCAGGGCAAACACTTAGCCTAAAAAAAAATAAAATACAGATCATCTTGCAGCTTCCAGATTGAATCCCCTGGTGCCAGCCCCTCTCCCTGCTCAGAGACCCTCTTCTCCTCCGAGCTCCAGACAGCCTTCTAACCCCCTGCCTCAGCTTGGTAGGATGCAGCGAGGCTGCAGCCAGGAGGAGCTCACAGGAATCCTGGCAGAGCCCAGTTCCAAAAAAGCTCAGCTTGGCTCAGCTGGCAGCAAGAAGGTTGTAATAGCACATAGCAAACAGCGAAGGAAGCCAGAGCTGCAGAGCTAGGGAGGGTGCAGGGATCCAAGCAAAAGGCCAGGAGGGAGGACTGCTAAGAAGATTAAATCATTATTTCTCTGTAAATAATCCTCTGTTTCATTAACCAACACCACAGGTGTGAGGGACTGGATGTTGGAGAAGAGGCTGTGACTGTCTTCCTTGGATTTTATTTCCACCATTTGGCAAAAAAATTAAGCAGTGAAGTTTCTAAACACAAGGTGACAATTCTGGGGTGCCATGAAAAATCAGATCACTCACCGTGTAGGAAAAAGGGGAGCTGCTCAAAGTGGGAACATCAAGGAAATCCATATGACTAAAAGCTTCACTCCTGTGAAGCAGAAGCCCACCAAAGAGCTGAGGCCCATGCTCGGGGCCATCCTGCTCGGCCTCATCCTCTTCATTGCCGCTGTGGTGGCCTGGTGCTACTACACAGCGTCCCTGTGGAAGGCAGAGAGGTGAGATGAGCACCCAGCACTGGCCCATCCGCCTCGCGGGCTACCAGGAGCCCGTGCCCTACGTGACGAGCGACGTCTACTCCTTCCGCGACAGCTTTGGGGGCATCCTGGAGCGCTACTGGCTCTCGTCCAAAGCGGCGGCCATCAAGATCAACGACTCGGTGCCCTTCCACCTGGGCTTCAACGCCACGGAGCGCACCCTCTTCTTCCAGGCGCGCTACAAGGATTCGCCCTACAAGCCCCCACCGGGACAACAGCCCTTCCCCGAGCTGAGCTACCGCGTGTGCGTGGGCTCGGACGTCACCTCCATCCACAAGTACATGGTGCGCCGCTACTTCAACAAGCCCTCCAAGATCCCGTCCGAACACGCCTTCCGCTACCCCATCTGGTCCACTTGGGCCCTCTACAAAAAAGATATTGACCAAGATAAAGTTATGGATTTTGCAGAAAAGATTAAGAAGTATCATTTTAACTGCAGTCACATTGAAATCGATGACATGTACACACAAGCCTATGGGGACTTTGACTTTGACCCCATCAAGTTCCCCAATGTGACAAAGATGTTCACAAAATTGAGGGAGGATGGATTTAAGGTGACTCTCTGGATTCATCCTTTCATACATACAGATTCCTCCAATTTTGGTGTAGGGATCGAGCACCAGCTGTTCATCAAGGAGCCATCAGGGCGGCTGCCAGCCATGGCGGAGTGGTGGAACGGCATTGGGGCCATCCTGGACTTCACCAACCCGGCGGCTCGGGACTGGTTCCAGAGCCACCTGCGACAGCTCCGCCACAAGTACGGCATCTCGTCCTTCAAGTTTGATGCTGGAGAGACCAGCTACCTGCCCAAGCAGTTCAGCACCTTTCGGCCACTCTCAGACCCCAGCATCTGGTCCAGGCGCTACACGGAGATGGCCATCCCCTTCTACGAGCTGGCCGAGGTGCGGGTGGGCTACCAGTCCCAGAACATCTCCTGCTTCTTCCGTATCATTGACCGTGACTCCGTGTGGGGCTATGAGCTCGGCCTCAAGTCCCTCATCCCCACGGTGCTCACCATCAGCATGCTGGGATATCCTTTTGTACTACCAGATATGATCGGAGGAAACTTCCTCCCTAACAAGACAGAGGGCGCAGTGGAAATCCCAGACCGGGAGCTCTACATCCGGTGGCTGGAGCTGTCGGCCTTCATGCCCTCCATGCAGTTCTCCATCCCGCCCTGGCTCTACGACAAGGAGGTGGTGGAGATTGCACAGAAGTTCACAGAGCTGCACGAGTCCCTGGTGGCCCCGCTGCTGCTGGAACTGGCCGGGGAAGTCACGGACACGGGCGACCCCATCATCCGGCCCATCTGGTGGATCTCTCCACGCGACGAGGCCACCCACAAAATCGACTCGCAGTTCCTCATTGGGGACACGCTCATGGTGGCCCCTGTGCTGGAGATGGGCAAGCAGGAGCGCGACGTCTACCTGCCAGCGGGCAAGTGGCGCAGCTACAAGGGGGAGCTGTTTGAGAAGACCCCGGTGCTGCTCACAGACTATCCTGTTGACTTGGACGAAATTGCCTATTTCCTCTGGGTTTCGTAACAGACTCCTTCATCAGCTTTACAACAAGCTGAAGCAATTTTTAACTAGAACATTTAAAGACCTGATTTTTTTGGTAATTTTAGAAATGAAAACACCTTGCTATCAATATAGAAGTATTCATGGTGACCTCTATTTTTTTGACAATGCCTGCAGAGTAACTTAGTCACTAAGATATATTGGATAGATGTTAGGGCCATGGCAGTATGATAAATACAACATATAGAAGCACTGTTTCTGCTTGTAATCATTTCCTGGCAAGAAATGGCTTGTACATTTTTGTTTTGTATCAGAATTTGAATGGGCTCTATTGTTA